ACCTAACCCTTAGGTCCTATTCGAATATTTCTCTGGTTCACATATTTCGATCGGATTCGGATTTTTTCTTTTGTCCACCCCTAATTCCAGACCCTATGTTATTCTTAACCGTGGGAGAGTTGGGTCGAGTCAGTGAGCTGTTTAGGTCCCCGTAGGACTATAAATATTCTGTTTTTATTAAGGTTTTACTTTTGTCGTTTATTTTGATTATAGTTCGTAAAAAGGCCAAACTTTATATAACTATCCGTCTAGAGTTAAAAGAGTTTTTGGTCCGGTGGTTAAATCTTTGGAAATGTATCGAGTTTGGGATTTTTGTGGATAATTATCCTATGCATGTCAAATTTTTTTTTTTTTAACTTGCCACATCGAAATTGCTTCTCATAACAAAATGGTAAAGTCTTCGACCCCAAAAGAATTAGTACTCGGCCTTTTTATTTGTTTAACCCTCACTTGAAATACATTTTCCTCTTCCTCCAAATCATATTGATGTTCGTTTTTCTTTCTTAACTATAAAGTATAAACTCACAAATCATATTAGCGTTCGCTTGTCTTTGATAATTATATAAACTCAGTCATTCATATTAACGTTCGCTGTTAGTTGTATATTTGTCTTTATCTCTTAATTAAAAATAGTTTCACTTTCCGCGATCTTTATTTATTCATTACTTTGTTAAATATTTTTTTTCCGTCAGTCTTTGTTAAATAAAAAGACCAAACAAACCACACCTAATCATCAATTTAGTTATATATTAAATTAAAAATCAATTGTCGATCGTGTATTTTGCGTGGATGTAATTTGTCATGATAGTTTTGGTGCTACCGGTGTAATTGCTCGAGTAGGCGAGCCATTTCATTGATTGCCGCAACATCTTTTCAAGACGGTGCTACCGGTGTAATTGCTCGAGTAGGCGAGCCATTTCATTTATTGCCGCAACATCTTTTCAAGACACTAGTGCTCGTCGTATACTGATCGTCCAAGGGATTAAATACTTTTCTGTCTTCATTTTTTAGATTAAACTCTGATAAAATTATATTTCAGCTATATATGTAGGCGGAGGTAGAGAAGGATTAGGGAGGGTCATGTGACTCCTACAA